GCCCAGCTGCACTGCGTCATCAAGGGCCAGTCCTCGGCGATCCGCTCCGTCGCCTGGTACGTCGGCAGCGAAAACATGACCACCCACAGCCNCATCATCCTCCAATTCAATCACCATCCGCGAGCATGTGCTCGCCCAGCTGCACTGCGTCATCAAGGGCCAGTCCTCGGCGATCCGCTCCGTCGCCTGGTACGTCGGCAGCGAAAACATGACCACCCACAGCCGCCTGCTGATGGAGTACAGCGCCGAGGAGGACACCTCGCTGACGATCTCCGTGCTGACGCTGAACATCACCGCGGAGTACCACGGCCAGCCGGTCTATTGCGTCATTGCCCATCAGAACTGGCCGCGAGAGGCGACGCTCAGCGCGTCTTTAAACGTGCTCTGTAAGTGCTTTGTTTGGGAGTTCTATTTGGAGTTCTATTTCTAAATTGTCTTTTACCTTCTGCAGACGCACCCCTCTTCAGCATCACCCGTGAGCCCGGCTTTGGCTACCCGATCGTGGAGGGCATGCCTCTGTCGCTGCGCTGCGAGATTGACTCAAATCCGCCGGCGGAGGCGCGCTGGGAGCGGGACGCCGACCCGGCCCTCTTGGCCACCACCACCTCAAACTCAAACAATGGCCAACAACAGCAGGGATCGACCCTTCCGCCGCCCATTCCGCCCACCGCCCCCGACGGGTCGCTCAACTTTTCGGCCATCAGCCGGGCCGATGCGGGCTGGTACCGCTGCACCACCGTCCACGAATTCGGCACCTTTGCCTCCTTTGGCTACTTTCTCAACGTCAAGTCGAGGGAGGAGGGCCTCGACCTGCCGCAGCCGGTGGACATCTTGGGTGGGGAGCACCCGCAGCTGTCGGAGCACAATCAGGAGTCGCTGTTGGCCAGCTCGAAGGAGGCAGCTCTGAGAAAACAACAGCAACAGCAGCAGCAAAACAATCGAGGCGAAACCTTTGAGGCCTCAGTCCAGCGCCCATATTCAGACGGCAGCTTTGGTGGTGATAACTTTAATGGTGGGCACCGATCAAGAAACAACTGTCCACCGGCGGCGGCGGCGGGCCCGCCAGCGCCGGAAAATGGCCGCCCGCTGATTGAGTCCATCAACTCGACGGTGATTGCCCTGGTCGGCTCGCAGATCAGCCTCATTGCCCGCTTCTGCTGCAATCCTCGGCCGAAGAAGGTGTACTGGATTCACCGGCACCTGGCGATGATGCCCTCGCGCATCATCGGCCGCTACATCACCAGAGAGTTGATTATGGTAAGTTTTTAAGTGAATTTTATTGTCAACAAACCTTGATGTTTTCTTTCTCTTTTTCTTCTCTTTAACTTTCTCTAGTCCTCCAACTCAATTCACTGCTTCACCTCCAGCTTCATCATTGACAGCGTCAAGCCAGAGGACGCCGGCGATGTGATGTTCCTGGTGCTGAACACCAAGGGCGTCGACCAGGCGCTGATCAGCGTCAATGTCACCTACTCTGCCGGCTACTCGTTGGCCCCAAACAGTAAGAGCTGATCATTCCTTTCCATTACCTTCGACCTTTTTCTTACGATCTCTTTTCTTTATTTTAGCCTCCTCTTCAGCGACAACACGGCCGCCCTCGCTCGCCATGCTGCTCAGTCTGACGGTGCTCATCAACTACTACCTTCTTCGAGCGGCGATAGCTTCCAGAGGGAGGAGGCCACACGGCCTCTTCTTCTTCTTCCTAGTTTGACGACGCAAAAAGAGTTCTTCCTTTTTCATGAAAACTGTCCTGTGTAATATAAAAAACTGTAATATAACAAAGTTGTAATCCCTCCACTACTTATTTTTAGTTACAAGAAGATAGTTTCCTCTCTCCTTCTTTCTGTACATTCTCTTATTCTCTGTCAATCTTGTTGTTATCTAATAAATTCTTGACTTATGATTCACGTAAAGGGACTTTGTTTTGTGGAACGTTTCACATATTATCCTACTTTGGTGCAGGTCAGTCGAGTTTTTTTGCCATGTTCAGTCGACAGACACTAGATGGCAGCAGGGGTTCTGCAAAGTTTATTTTCCTGGTTTTCTGAACACGAGAAAAATAAAATTCATGGACGATTTTTTGACGACACTTTTAAGATGGCGACGACGGTGGCGTTCCTAGCGGACAACACCGACAACTATCCGCTTTTAATGATTAATTCTGTCAATTTTTTAAATGATTGTTTCTTGGGCCTGAAACGTCACAGAGAACTCAAAGTTGCTTTAAATGAAAGCTAAAGACTTGGCGCACAATCTGTGTGTAAAATAATCTAGTTTAAACAAGTTTTTTCTTTTTAAATCTAGTTTTAAAGTTTTCAACACTACTTTTACTATACTAAAACTTGTCAAAACTAATTTATTTAACAAGCAGATTGTGCGCCAAGTCTTTAGCTTTCATTTAAAACAAGTTTCATCACTTTATGATACTCCAAGCCTGAGAAACAGCCATTTAAAAAAATGACAGAATTGATCAATAAAAGTGAAAAGTTTCCGATGTTGTCCGCTAGGAACGCCACCAGCGTGGCCATCTTGAAAGTGGCGTAAAAAAATCGCCCGTGAAATTTATTTTTCTCGTGTTCAGAAAACCAGAAAAATAAACTTTGTGGAACAACTGGCGCCATCTGGCGGTTGTTAAATAAACATGGCAATTTTAATTAACTTTAAAATTAAAATTGACCGTGTTCCCGTCGTCCCAGAGCAAAAACTCTTTCAGATTTGGAGTTCTCTCGTTGAGTACTTTAAGAATCTGCAATAAAAATTTTTTGGTTAAATTTTCAAAATCTGCAAGGCTATAGCCTTACAGATTTGGCCGATTTGGCCAAAAATCTGACCTTCCCGTTTTATGGTCCCATTCGACGCAGAACGCTTAGTGAAGTGTCCCTGCGCAAACAAAACCTCAATAGCTCGAGTACTTCCCGAGATATCCGAAATTGAAGTTCCCGTTTCGGTATCTTGCATTGCATCTACGACGAGCACCCCTGACAGCTGTCAGCAGACAGTCTGCCTCGGCCGCAGCTATCGCCGGCGCCACAATCGCCTCATTTGCCGTTCAGACACCGACAAGGACGGTCATGCCCCGCCGCTGCTGTTGTTGCTAATAGCGCCCGTGGGCGCTCTTTGTTTTGGTGGCGAAGATCATTTCAAGTTTCACCGACGAGGTAAGTCTTGTGTCAATGTTTGTTTTACTTTAAATCTAACTTCCTTTTATTCCTTGCAGTCTCTCGGGCCTCTCTCACTCTCGCGCCTTTCGGATGGCACTCGCGCCCGCAATCCGGGCTGAAGATCATCATCACCACCATCAGAGCACCAGTGTCTATGCTGGTGCTCTTCATCTTTCTTTCTTTCTTTCCTTCTCTCTTTCTTTTCTGGGCAGCAACCCATGGCCAGTGTGATTAGCACCTGGCCATTCTAACCTTTAACTTTTTTCAGCGAGCCCCAGGACCGACGATGAAGACCGACGACGACCAGGATGGATGGACGACCGGGATGGACGACTACCAGGATGGCAACCAGGATGGACGACTTTGAAGACCGACGACGACGACGACGACGACGACGACGACGACGACGACGGCGACGACGACTGGGATGGACGACGACGAAGACTGAAAACCGAAGACCGAAGACGACGGGGGCGAAGAGGCAGTCAACACTGGCGGTTGACTCGCCGAAGA